CGGCCTTTCGCTGCTGTCCCTGGTCGGCTCTATTAGTTTTAATTAAACACCTGAGCGTCCATCGGGCTAATTATTGTGAATGTCCATTCGTGGCATTTCGTTTTTAATCATAGTAATTATTGTGCGCTTGTTTAATAACAATTAAATGTTGGCTTCTGCTTTCATTTTGTTTGTGCTCTAGTCCGTTGTTGTATTTGTTTTTATTTTACTTTTTTACTTCTGTTACGCAGCGCAATTTGGCATTTAATCAATACAATTAAAGCCTTGGATCTAGACTGCGAACATCATTAAAAGAAATGCCGAAGACAAAGAGGAAGACAGCGACAACGACAAAGACAAAGACAAAGACGACAATGACGATAACAAAAATAAACATTAAATAACAAAAAAAAAAAAAAAATAGCAGCAGCAGCAGCGATAAAAGGCAGCCAGGCAAGAGGCGAAACTTGTTGGGCGAGTCTCCACAGCTGTCCGCCTGAGAGAGATACAAAAGCGGGATTAAAACTTTTTTCTAGCAACCAAAATTTAAGCCAACAAACGTACGCACATACGCCAAAGCAAGGGAGAGAGGGAGACAGAGAGATGGGGACGTGAGCGACGAAGAGCCCCAGCGAACAAGACAGAGGAGGAAGCGCGGGCCGAGCAGCTCAAGTATCGCACCCGAACGCGTCCCGTTATCTATGACACACAAAAAATCGCACAGAATGCGAACACCAAAAGGCAGTGGGAGCAAGGGGCAATAAAAAGGCGCGGGAGCGGGCGCTTAGGCAGCTGTTGAGCGGCAGCAAAGGGAGCAGACAACTGGCAGCAGCAAGGGAAGCCGAAGTGAAGCGTAGCAAGTTTTTACGCAAATAAACGCACGTTTTTGCACAACTTTGCGCCACTTTCATTTTATGTCGTATACCCTGAGCCCGCATAGTAAATGTAAATTTTGGGTATATGGCTTGGACTCTGAATCTATTTTAGATGCCCGCAGGGGCTGCGGCTGGCCGAGTTGACAGTTTCAATTTGAATACAATACAAAGCCAGTTTGTGTTAGATTATCGATAAATGTTCATGGAATCGATATAAAATCGATCTAAGGTTTTGAATCAAAGAAAGGCATGGTTAGTCAAGTCATTTTCGATCTGCCTCAGGAGCTTCAAGAACAAGTATCTGCGAGATTATCGAATGCTGTTAATGAAATCGTTATCGAAACTAGAAGTTTCAAGAACTTGACTCAACAATTAAATGGTAAATGCTTGAAATTTAAGTTAACTGATAGTAGACGGCGGCAGCAATCGCAACAGTTTCTAGAGCTAACGAACTGAAATTTGAGCAGCAGAGCAAGTGTTAGATTGTCAATAAATTTTAGTGGAACCGATTAAAATCGATATCAAGCTGCAGAGCGTTGCAACTGTGCTCAACTGTGAAAGCCTTCAGAAGAGCCAGAGCGAAGTAATAGGACATCGAGCAGGGTATCATTGTGAGTGAGGATAGCTGCTAGTCGCGCACTCCCCACTAGAGCACCCGCAGTTATTTTACACTTTTTTTTGATATTTCTGCCCCTTTTTGTATGCTACACTTTTTGTCTCTTTGCTGGCGCGCGTGTGTGAAACGTTTTGTTGTCTTTTTTGTTTCGTTTTACTTTTTTTTTTGCTACTCCTTTTTGACTTGTTGTTGTTGGGCCACCAAATTCTCAACTAATGGAAAATAGTAATTACAATATTTTCGTGGCCGCCTGCTAAAGGTTTCTAAACGCCTGACTATTTCCATTTCCGCTTTGGCAATCAAAATAAAATAAAGCCAAAAAAAATAACCGAAAAAAATAAGCGAAAAAAGTGCAAATTTAAAAGACAAACAAACCAAAGGCAAACAAAAACAAAATAAACATTAAGCTATTATGGTTTCAAACGAGACAGCAGCAGCCTGACGGCTGAAGGCTGAAGGCGTGGCCAAGGGGCGTGCAGCTTGCTTTTCGGGGTCTGGTCTATTTGTGTGCGTGCTGCGTGAAAATTAATAATAAATCAAAATTAAATGTTTGCTTACTTGACACTTTGGCTTCCTTGCTTTGCTCAACCTCCAAGCCCCGCCCCCTCCCATTCTCTCTGTCTTTTAGCTTTCCGCTTTTTATTTATATTACTTTACGCTGCTTTTATTTTCTTTATTATTATTAATATGCGCTACTGTTGCTGACTTTCTGGCTGAGCTTTTACTTTTTTGCAAATTTCTTTCTGTTCTTTATTTATATTTTTGCCACTGGCCAATTGGCCTTTGGGTTCGCTGCAAAATGTTGCAAAATGTTTAACAGACAATTAATTTGATGGCAAAAAAAATGGCAAAAGCAGCAACTGCAACAGCTGCCACAAGCAACAGCAGCAGCCAAAGCAGCTGAAGCGGCAACGCATTAAATCGTTTATAAATCACTTTCGAGAACTTTTATATTTGCACGCACACACACACGCCCACACACACACTCCCACACCCACACCCACACACATGTAGTTACAGTAAGCTACATACGTTTTTGGGCAGTGCAATAAAATGTCATTTATTGTGGATGCGGTCGAGCCGGAGGCAATAAGTTTCGATTTGTAGCTGCAGCGCGCGCATGGACAGTAAACAATTAATTCGCGATTCCATAACCAATCTACAAATACTACTGTAAGCCTTTAAGCTGCTCCACAACAAAATAAAAATAAGAAATAAAAATAAAAAATCAAACATAAAAACATGCAGGCAAACAGAAATTGATTTTGAACAAATTTCAATTTCGGTTGGCTGCAGCGAAAAAATTGTCGCAATTTTTACCATTTTCTTTCTTCTCTGTGCTCATCGCACTTAGCCATAACTGTTCGGCCAATTGGCAATTAGCTCAACGCATTCCGCGCTTAGCGTTCACCAGAAAAACTTCAACATTTTTATGACTCTCCATTAATAGATCCAATCAATTGAAATTCGATTGAAAATAAAGTTTTATAATTTCAATCAATTTCCCAATTTAAGTCCTTAAATCTTAATAAAAAGTTACAATTATGCTCTCTCCTCATTGAACTCGAACCATCGAGTCCTCAAATGGTTAGAGCAGAGTAGCAAGGCAATGAGATTAGCGTAGTCGCTAGCTAAATCTGCAGATGATAGAGCCAAACCAAACTTAGCTCAGCTCTCTTTGTTTCCCGGAATTTCATTTATCTGCCATAAACGCATGAAGTTCATCAGAAATCGCTATGATATGTGCGTGGTTGCATAATGCAATCAACCAGAAAAACTAATTGATACATAAATATATATACACAGAATACAATACAATTACAAGTTCTTAAAAATAAAATATAAATATAATAGTAAGTAATAATATAAATACTTCTAATATTATTGCCAATTATCAATTATATTTTTAGAGCATTTTAATGTTGAAGTATTTATATTATATAGTTATATTATTATATTTATTATTGCATTTACATTGTATATTTATTTTTCGTTTTTATTTTTTAGCTTTAAGTATTTCTTTATTTCATTAAAATTAAAAAATACTTTTAAAAATATTAAGCAAAATAATATTTTTTATAAATGTTTTTTTATTTTTGTTTTTAGTATTATTAATTACTTTACTTTTTATAATTTTTTATTTTATTTATTATTTTTTATATTCTTATTTTCTTTATTTTTAGTATTTTTTTATATTTTATTATTTAATGCTTTTCTTTTGAAGTATTAATTTAATTATGTCTTTTGTATTTTATTTGCTTTTTAGTATTTTTGATTTTAATCCTTAATATTTTTATTCAAGTTTTATTCTTTACTATTTTTTATAGATTTTTAGTACCTTATTTTTAAACTTTTTTTATCATACTTTTAGTATTTTGTTTATATTTTATTTATTAAAATATTTATTTACTTTATTTTATGGTTTTATAATTTCTTATAAGTATTTTTATTTATATTTCTTAGGAATTTCTTATGTATTTTATTTTTAGTTTCTTTTTATTTTTTAGTAGTTTCTTTTGCATTTTATTTATTGGTATTTTTATTTACTTCATTTTAATTTTTTATCATTTGTAGCATTTTTAAAGTATTTTATATATCTTTTATTCTTGAGAATTTTTTATTATATGTTATAAATATTTTGTGAGTGCAACAAACCTGTTTATTTCAGTTAAGATATGTAGTTTGATCTGCTTAAAAATACTATAAAAAATCGAAATTATAATACAAATTTACAGACATATATAGGAACAATAGAGAATACCATTTGTATATATAAAATTATATCAATCTTGTATCTATATGTATGAGTAATGCCTATCAGTTCTGATAATCTCAAATTCTTCGATCTAGGCATTTACAAAAACGTCCCTAAACATAGTGCTGTTATATCATATGTTTCAATGGATATCTGAGATAAATGTATTATTCATATTTAACTCATGAAAATTTGAATATTATTTAGCTTAGCTTCTTTCAGCTTTCTTTCGCTCAAAAATTAGCATAAATATTTATAATACAGCCAACTTTGTTCTAAAAATTGTTTGAAAATTTGTAATCTTGAAGAATATTTGAACTTTGGAACCTTAAAATGAACTTCAAAAATGTATACTAAAGAATATAATAGAGAATATCCTATAACTTGCCCTATATAAACATTTTGTTTTAGTTTTTTAAGACTTAATAATATAATATTATATTTGTGCAAGAAACATAAGAAAACAAGTCTTTATACAATAAATAAATAAATAAATACACATTCGCATGCATTTAATTAACATTTGTAATAAAAAATAAAAATATATATGTATATATATCTATATATGCACAAAACATGTCCTGAAATCCAATTTTTTAACTCATTTTGTTTTTGTTTTTCTTTTTTATTTTCTTTCATTTTTATCACTTGGCATTTTTTATGCCTTGCCGCCTTAACGGCATTAAAAAAATACAAAAAAAAATAGATATATATTTTTATATATGATTTAAACACACAGCATAAAAAAAATGCAATTTGAAAATGTTGCGCTCACCGTTAGAATCAATTCACTGCGAGATTAACCGTTAAACTCAAATCGCACACTTAAAAAAGTCAATTTGGCTTCAAATTGTGAAATTTCTTCAAATCAATTATTTATTTAAATTTTCTTTTTTTATTAAGTTTTTTATATAATTTTTTTTTTTTTTGGTATTTTTTATTTGTATATGCCTTGAGAGGATCTGGTGTGTGCGTCGAATAACTTCAACTGGTTGTCGCGAAGCTGCTTGAAGCGGGGTAATTCGCTGGATGCTTTGCACGGCAGCGCCAAGATTGGTTTTGTGCGGCCAGCAGCGACGACGATGAGAACGAGAATGACGCGACCAAACGATGGCCATTGCGAGACAAGCCAGAACGATGGAAGACGATGCGACACGAGGCGGATGCCGATGTTGATGCCGACGATGAGGACAAGGACGAGGACGTCGTGCACGAGGCCAAACACGAGGACAAGAGCAAGGGCGAGGACAAGGACGCGTCTCCAACTTAAATCGCTTCAATTTCAGTTTGATGACGCGCCCGACAGGTGAGGCGGCAAAAGAGGGCGTGCTGTTGCTGCTGCAGCCTCAGCGGCATGCTGGTGTTGGTGTTAAGGACATGGCCGTCTCCTGTACGTGTGTATCTGCCAGCAGAGACGCAACAGTGCCGACAACGTCGATTCGTCTGCAGCAACACCAGCAGCAGCGGCAGCAACAACAAGTGGAACTTCATTTTGCTATTCGGCAAACACGCACACACACAAGCACACACACGCACACGCACACACACACACACTTGCACTTGAGCATTCGTATTTTGTGTATTCGGTTCATACGATTCGTTTTCGGTTTCGTTTCGCCTTTGCCTGTGCTTCGTCTTTGCCTTTAATTTATACAGCTAGCTCAGCTGTACATGAGCAAACCAAAAACGAAAAAAAAAACAGAAAAAATGCAAAGTTTGCCGAAATAGCCAAAAGCTGCCGCTGGGCGGCGCCACATTGACAAACTTGTGTGCGCCTTTGCCAAAGCAGTCAAAAAGCTATACACACACATGCATACTCAAACACATGCATGCACACACACACACACACACACAGGCATGCACGTACTTAAGATTTGATTAGGTAAAGTTTTGGCCGCAATTGAATTGTTGTTGGATTTGCTTCTTTATTTATTTGCCAATGCAAATAAGAAGCGAGCAGACTAAGAGAGAGAGAGAGAGAGGGAATGAGAGAGAGCGAATGTTCCGATCTCAGCGTTTCGTACGGAAATAACTCAAACAATTTTCAGTTCATTTTTTTCAGCTTTTCAGTTGTATTTAAACATTTAATTCGAGCGGATCGTGGAATGGATTTACTTTTTCTTAGCCAGCGCATTTATTTGGGCGACGGCAGCCACGAAACGCCCCTCAACGGCGGCATTATTGTGGACACGGGCGGTATCATTCGACGTGGTAAGTGGAAAAGCTCAAGGCTTTTCACGATACGCAACCTTTTGACTATTATGAATACTTATTTATAAGCTATTCTATACAGTGAGGCGGGCAGATGGATGTTTGTGCTGCACTTGTTGGGTTTTATACAATTTTTAGGTTTTCTCTTGACATCCAAAATAAAACACATAGCGAAAGAGAAAGACAGCAAGAGAGAGAGGGAGAGAGAGGAAGAGAGAGAGAGTAAGAGGAGGGCAGCAGATAAAAGAGGAATGGCACGAACAAGACAACGCCAAAGAGCGTGGGCGGGCTAGAGCAGAACAAGCGAAAATCAGCTCTTGCCCATAAGAGTAGCTGACTCGGAAAATTCAGCGACAAATGTTGCTTATGTTGGCTACAAGTTAATAAATATATAAATACTAATTGAATATATTTATATAAATATATAAATACTAATTGAACAGACAGACTTATTTCAAGTATTTTTGAAAAGGGGTAGCTTGGTTTTAGGCAAACGTATTTAACAGTTATATTACGGCTATCTTCAATTTAAAGACAGATTTTCAAAATTTTGAATTTAGCTTCAATTTCGAATCATTTCCATTCAAATTGTGAAAACATCTGCACGTCCGTCCGTATATATGCTCACCTGTCTCTCTGTCCATCTGTCGTCTGCCAGTCTATCTAGTCATCCGTACGACTGTCTGTCCATACGCCTATCCATGCTTGATTCGTTCGTCTATTCGTCTCTGTCTCTGTCAGTGCCTCCATCTAAATGCGAAATTCTCGTAAATTACAAGGGCCCCAGATTTAAATAACTTAAATATATCTTCTTATATACCCTACATAGCTTTTTATATTTTTATTATATTTTTTCGATTGCTTTGAAGACGATAAAAGCTTCATTGAACCCTAAAGACGCTACTTGATACATTTGAATACCATTATTACTAGCTGAAAATGTCAGATAAGATAACTGGAACTAACATAATTTAATTATTTCGATGATCTAGAGACTGACAATGTACAGCAGGCTGCCTCAGAGGCTTAAAGACTAAAGACTCATCTTTAAGATATCTTTAGAAGCTCTCTTCAACGGAATGTGAACATGTTCCGAAGAGAGTTACGAATCGAGTGTTGTTACAAAGAGATTTCAATGCATTTCTTATATACCATGAATCTCTTATATATCTATTTAGTGCTGCGCACGAAGCAGGAGGTGAACACGTATCTATATAATACAGAATCGGAAGCTGTTTACGATTTTGGCGATCTGGTGCTCATGCCGGGCTTGATTGATACGAATGTGCACATCAATGAGCCGGGCGGCCGCACGGACTGGGAGGGATTTGCGTCGGCGACGAAAGCGGCTGCCGCGGGCGGATTCACGACCATCATAAATCGACCCACGTGAGTAGTAGCTGCCCGATGTGCGAGTGGCAGTGCCTTCTACCCTGCCCTTTCTACAGTTCAACGCCCGCAGTAATGCCACGCCCCCCACAGTGAGTGTGCAGACGCTGAAGGCGAAAGCCTCGACCGCATGCGGCAAGATCTATGTGGATGTCGGCTTCTGGGGCGGCCTGGTGCCCGGCAACATGGAGCAGCTGGGGCCGCAGCTGGCTGCCGGCGTCGTCGGACTACAGTGCACACTCTGCAACAGCGCCCAGCCTGTCGGCGAGGAATTTGCAGCCATCAACGAGTCGCAACTGGCCGAGGCACTGCAACAGCTAAACAAGGAGCAGGCAACGGATGCGCTCATAGCGGTAAATACATAAACAAAGCCAACTTTTGGAGTAAAACGAAAAATGTATCCAAAATTGTTATATTCCATATTTATATATACTCTTAGATAATCTATATATATATATATATAAAGTGGGTTGGCTCTAGCTAGCAGATATGCTCAAATAACTGAAAGCTTTTATCGATTTTATCGATTTGAGAAATTATCGATTATGTGAAATAAACATAATGTGCACATGCTACAGCTAGAACTATGCATACACTCTTAAGGCCTAGCTCTTATAGATGACAACAGAGTCGAGCTCATGCATAAGGACAAACGGATAAACGGGCAGAGTTTCTAGCTTGATTCCTAAATGGGAGCGACCTTTCTTTTAGCGTATATAACAGGGCAAATTCTAGGCTACATTCAGGCTGTATTAAGCTTAACCCAGCTTTGAGACACTTTCAGCTCTTCACATTCTTCGCAAAGTTACTTTTTGCACTTTTCTACTTGACACCAACTTTTTTATGCTTTAGTTCTAGTTGTGCCTCAAGAGTTCTTTAGGGAAATCACCTCAAATTTACTCGCTACGAAATGGTTCATGTTCATAGGGCTGGACGGACGGACGGAGAGACAGACCGATGGACGGAAGGACGTCCCAAAGAGCGTACAAACAGACGGACGAACAGTAAGACGGTCAGACGAACGGACGGATGGATGGACGGACGGATGGATGGACGGATGGACGGACAGACCGATGGACGGAGGATCAGACAGAAAGACGGAAGGACAGAGAGACGGACAAACAGAAGATCAGACGAACGAAGGGATGAAGGACTTTTGAAAGGACAGACGGATAGACGGACGGACAGACAGACGGACGAAGAGACAGACCGATGGACGGAAGGACGTCCCAAAGGACGAACAGTAAGACGGCCAGACGAACGGACGGATGGATGGACGGACAAACGGACAGACCGACGGATGAAGGGACGGACAGAAAAACGGGCAGGCAGACAAACAGACGGGAGGACGTTAGGACGGGTGAGAGAAATAGCGAGAGGTCGGTCAGATGGAAACACAAACGGATGCTAAAATACTCCTTCAGTTCATGAGCACAATGCACACGAATCAAATCAAGTTGCTCATCATCTGCTTTTGATGCTTACAGTTCCATGCCGAGCTGCCAGCAACAGAGTCGCTGCAGCTGCCAGATGAAGCCGCAAGCAAATGCTACAGCAGTTTTCTACGATCGCGACCCACCAGCATGGAGCTGTCGGCGGTGGAGCTCATCTGTCGAGCTGCTGCAACGCAGCCCCAGCATCGCTATCACATTATGAATCTAAGCTGCGCCGAGGCGTTGCCCATGCTGGAGACGTGCCGGCGGCAGACGGGCGTGCAGCTGAGCGCCGAGACGTGCCCGCACTATCTGGCGCTCGCTGCGGAGCAGGTGCCCGATTGTGGCACCGAGTTCAAGACCTGGCCGCCCATACGTGAGCAGGCCAATCAGGCGGCGCTGTGGTCGGCGCTGCGGCAGCCAGACTCGACGCTGCAGCTCATCGCCAGCGATCACTCTTCGGCGACGCCCGGCGCACGGTGTCTGACCTATGGCCGGGGACGGGGCAACTTCATGAATGCCTGGCCGGGCATCAGCTCGCTGCAGTTGAGCCTGCCCGTGGTATGGACACGCGCCAAGCAGACGGAACAGCCGCTCAGCCTGGCCGAGGTGCATCGCCTGATGTGCTGGCAGCCGGCGCAGCTGTGTGGCCTCGCCCGCTTCAAGGGATGCATTGCCGAGGGCTACGACGCCGACTTCTGCATCTGGAATCCCGACGAAGAGTTCACCGTCTCCGGCGATCAGCTATACGCGTCGCACAAATCGCCCACGCCCTATGCCGGCCAGAGGCTGAGCGGTGTGGTGCATGCCACAGTGGTGCGCGGCCTACACGTCTACCAGCAATACGAGGGCTTCGGCCAGCCCCTGGGCAAGGTGCTGCTGCGCAAGAGCAGCGCCAAGCTGGTCAAGTTTGTGCGGCTCTGAAATGAAAGTTTGTTAATTAAACCGATTGTGTGCTCGAGATTGATCCATTGATATGATTTTCTTTGGCCCCGGTGGGGCTGGGGCGATGTAGTTCAAGAAATGGCACAGGATGTAACGGTGCACATCTCCTCTTCCTGTCCAAGAGACGCGCAACTGCTTTGCTGTCCTTGCTTACGACCTGCCGCTGCTTGATGTCGACTCCTTTATCAGACGTGCAACAAGTTGTCGCGTGGCAACGCTAAGCAAACACACACACAGACGCAGACACAGAGAGAGGAAGGGGGGGGGGGGGGGTCAGAGAAAGCAACACAGCACAAGTAAACCTCTAGTTCAACACTCCGGCTACAGGCGAGCTCCGTGCATGTGGGTGACAGCTTAAGTTTGCTTGCCAGGCGTCAACTCAATTTTTGCAGTATGTGCCACACGACTTGTTTGCTTAAGTGGATACCAGTTAGAGCGAGAGGCACATGCCTACATATACATCTTATATACACAATGCGTGTGGATGTCGAGTTGTCGCTTGTTCATATTGTCTGGATGGTCTTATATCAGATATCAAAAAACATAAAAATATTACAAATAAAGAATAAAAATAAAATAATACAAAAATAATATTATGTTAAATTTAACAGTCATATTCAGTTGTTTGACAAATTATGCAATAGATATCAAATAAATATTATATTTCATAAATGTAGAAAAAATAATACCATCTGCATATAAAATATAAAATTATATTTTTATATCAATCATGCTAATACTAAATATTATATATTAAATATTAAAACTGAATATTGTATATAAAACTATAAATTTCTTAAAAATATTATGCTTTTATATTACATGCTAAACTTTAAATTCCACTGAAATATAATAATTTAATATTTAAAAACAAAACTATTTAAAAAGAAAAAGAAAAAACAATTTAAAACAAATAAAAAATATTTAATAAAAATAAAATAAAAATATATATTAAAAATTGTATCAAATAATAATCTATACAATTTATAATATATAACATATATACATATACATCCATATATAAAAGTCCATCCACATAAAATATAATAATTTAATAATTAAAGACAAAACTATAATAAAATTAAAATAAATAATTAAATAAGCAAAAAAGAAATAATAAAAACAAAATAAAAAAATTAATCTAAAATACAAATATATAAAATTTTATATATTTTACATATATATATTTAAATTCACATGAAATATAATAATATTACATTTAAAAATAAAACTACAAAAAAATAAATAATAAAAGTATAAAAAAATAAAGTAAAAACTTATATAAAAAATAATATTAAATGAAAATATATAAAATTTATAATATATCAAAAAAAAATAATTTTTAATAAAAAATAAAACAAAAACTTTTATAAAAAATAATATTAAATGAAAATATATAAAATTTATAATATATAACAAAAAATAACATATAATAAAAAATAAAACAAAAACTTATATAAAAATGAAAATATATAAAATTTATAATATATAACACTTATAAAAATATAATATTAAATAAATATTTCATATAATTTGGAGACTTTTTAAATTTCTATTTATTCAATTTGGCTTACTTAACTGAACAATAGCAAACGACAGCAAGTTAATGGCAAACGTTTTGTCAAAGAGCAACTTTTTCTTTTAAGCCAGCTTCACAAACGCCCATCTGCCCTGCCCTGCTCCTGCCACCTGTGTACGCCCCCAAGTCTGCATTGTTCAGCGCACAGCTTGACGACGCCCCGTGGGGGGCTCAGGTATAAGCGTTGCTTCCTTTGTGCACTTCTGGACATATGGACATCTGGACATATATGTATTTGGCCAGAAGCACCGCATGAGCTTTGCTGCGCACAATTCATATATTGCGAATACTTTTCTGCCTTCACGCACACGCCCACAACATCCTGCAGTGTTGTCTTCAGATGATTGCTGCCATTATCGTGCCCTGTTGCGAGCCTGAAGAGGGTATATTCACTCGCTCGCTTAACAGTGATAAAAGCAATGATAATAACAATTGTGGTTAAGTTAGGCATTAGCCAGGCCATAGCTCGGACCGATGTGTCTGCCTGCACTTGCTTTTGCTGCTTACCGACGAGCTAAGATTGCTCTTCCCCTCTTCTGCCTGTTCCACTGTTTACGCCGTAATAACTTTTCGGAGAAATCACTGACTTCCTTTTCAAGCATCTCCAGCTTGACTGCAGCCATAGCTTCTGCCAGGTCGCTGAGTTCTTCTATGCTTTGCATTGCTTCGTCAATTGCATTTTCGCAGTAAATGCAGCAGATTCCGGCAACAAATACGATTTGCAGTAGGCCGCAGCTAGGCTTACGGCTCATACTCTTTGCTTCACTCTTCACTTCACTGCTTCCATTTCCGTAAATCTAACATTTGCCCTTAGCCAGTCTACTTAAAGAGCTGGTTGCAATTTGTGGCTGTGCCCAAAACGTCAGCTGAGTTGCGCGTCTAACGAATAGTTGTCCGATTAGCCCAAGACAGAAGTAACTGCGTGCTTGGGGTAGCAAGTGGTAGGACTCGAAAGCGAATCAGGATTTAGCTAAGCCTTCGTTGAGCCTCGACATAGCACTAGATTTTGAGCTGTTTGCGGACTGCAATCTTCAAAGCTGTTGCTACAAAGATCCTAAGGACGACCCTTGTGCAGTTTCTCCGACTACTCTATATCACTTAGATACTGCCCCTTAGCCTACTGGAGTACACAGCATCGCTAGCAACTGCTAAACATGCCCACTTCATATTCTGGTATATAGGAACGTTGTTCCAGAGACACCCACCTGGCGTTCCTTATATTGAAGCGGTAGCACCACCGGACACAAGTATGCTCTACCCTTAACCATTCCTCCGACTGCCTGAAGCACTTCATCAGTAGCTTCTTTTATAGACTGTGTGTGTTGCCTGAAACTGAAGGCTGCAGCTGGCTCTACCGCAGTCTAGGCCTTATTAGCTTTTCCAGTAAGTTCCGGTCGTGTTTAACATGCACAGTAGGTGGTAAGTCGACCGTGTGTTGGGGTCACCTTTGCCTTTGCACACGCGTCCGGAAATAACCTCTCTTTCAGCAATGCGTTATACATTCTAGAAGGAAAGGTTGGTCCTCCTATTGCCATCAGTTGAGTTTCTCCGCCGGCCTGATCCCTCAGCATTTTGTTTCATAAGGAAAGATCATAAGGTGAAAATCGAGGCAGTGCTGAACGGCGACGTTTCCTTCCATTTCTGCTATGGCTAGTGCAATTCGTGTGTCCAGAACATTCAATGAATCCGTTAATAATTATATTATAGCCTTGCCAGCACTGTTCAGCTAACAGAGCGAGCACTGTGTGGTCACTTGGAGGATACACACGAATCTCAATTGCCTTTGACATAAGTTCTTCACGTTGCCCTGTTCCGGTTGTCGCTCTGCTGCTGATTTCATTCTCGGTAAGCAAGTTTGTTTGCCCACCTGCCTACGTCAGCGCAATGGCCCATCGGGCCATGTCCATGCGAACTCAACCTGATGAATGTGTGGGCAGGTTGCCGTTCGTCGTTGGGCGTCGTCCGTCGTTGGGGGTCGCGGCAAGGCAGGCAGGTAGGGATTTGGCCTGCCGCTGTGTTTCGGTGCTAGCTTTCGGTTATAAACGTATTACGTATAGCGCTTTACACGCCCCTGCGCATTTCTTATTAAATAAATGCCCCAAGCAGCTCACTTTCAAATCACATTACTGCCGCTGCTGAGCAGTAAAAAGGGGGCACAGATTGAAGGGGCGAGAGACAGGGAGAGGCGGGGGCGGTGGAGGGGTTGGCGTTAGGTTTGGCTGATGAGGCTGTTGGCATTACATTTTTCGCTTAAATTTTGGCACTGTGGCCGCCGCTGTCAGCTGCACACGCGGCGTAACGCAATATGCGACGTATGCGTAATTTATGCAACGTTTATGAAGCATACGTCATGTAAGCCGCGCGCTCATTCAAACGCCCCGGTAAGGCAAATATTCAATGTATCTCTGTCAAGTGAGGCAACAGTAAGGCTCGGTTAGAGAAATGTGGACGTTAGACAGCATCAGAGCATCAGTATTTGTGTGTGTGTGCTTGTGTGTGTGATGACTGTGATTATTGTATTACGCATACGCCAAGTTGCCAAATTGAAAATGTAGCCTCAGTTTGAGGTTTATGGGGCAATGGTGCGTTGAGGGTACTGTAATTTTGACAGACTATGCGTGACGCAATGCCAGCCTCATTTATAATATATATATATTTTAATCAGAGTCGTCAGCGGAGTCAAGCAAACAAGAATCGCATGAAAACGCAACATTTTTCTTCTGTTCTTAAAGTTCACTTAGCTACATTTTTGTATATGTTTTCATAAATATTATATATAATTTATATATATTATTTAGCTACTTTTACGTGCGTAATATTTTACAAGCAACTATCATTTTAGTTTATTTTTTATATATTCAAGGGTATTTCATCTGCGACGCTGTGAAAAAATATGTTTTTCCTGTTCGTTCGACAGTTTGTTCCAACGTCATCGAGGTGTGAGTCGTACGTGTTGCACCTGCCTGTGGTCAGATTTTTGCTCTCCTTCACTGTACTTGATGAAGTTTTGGCTAATTGGTTTCTGCTATGGTAAAAAGTAGTTTACTGACTGGCTAAGAATAGAAGCAATTACACACCGCAGGCGAGGGCCAAGGCAAGTGTAGCTTCTATACATGAATTGAAATGTTTTTGTAATATAACTTTATATTTTGATAGGAACTAGCTTAACTTTTAATTAATTCTTTGTTTTACTATTTTTTAATTAACTATTTTAGGTAATTGATGTTGTTTTGAATAAGCGGTTAATGGCCTGCCTGAACGTATGCTATGGATTTCGCTTGTTAGTCAGCTGGTATTGCTTACACGCATGTGCGAGCGAGTTAAGTGCGCTCAATGTGTGCGCGAGCGAGCTAGCGAAATAACGTCACCGTCGTGCCTCTGCTGCGGCGTACGCCATAACTGTGCGCTAACAGCAACAAGAAACACATGAAAA